TCTGTATTTGTCTATGAGGTTGAGTTGATTGATTGTATTTTTTAGTTCTTCTGTATCTTTGTTGAGTTTTTTTTCTATTTGACCTGTCTCTCTTTGAAAGTAGTGCGTTAAAGTCTCCTACTACTATAGTAGAGTTGTCTACTATCCCTTTACATTCAGTTAATATTTGTTTCATGTATTTTGGAGCACTTTCATTGGGTGCATAAATATTTATTATTGTAACGTTTTCTTTGTCAATTGACCCTTTCAGCATCATATAATGTCCTTCTTTATATCTTATGATGTTTTTCACCTTAATGTCTATTTTGTCAGAAATTAATGTTGCCACTCCTATTTTTTGGTTTCCATTGGCTTGGTATATTTTTTCTATCCCTTAACTCTTAATTTGTTTTTATCTTTTTGTCTAAGATGGGTCTCTTGTAGGCAACATATCTATGGGTCTTCTTTTCTTATCCAGTCTGCCATTCTCTTTCTCTTGATAGGTGCATTTAGTCCATTCATATTGAGTATAATTAGTGATAGGTATGAATTGATTGCTGTCATTCTATTGTGTTTCTTTTGTCATGTTGTTGGTGTTTCCTTAGTCCATATACTTTTCTGTGCTGGATTCAGTTTTTTGACTAATGCTTTCTCCCTTTTCTTCTTTATTGTTGGTTTTGTGCTTATTAAACCCATATGTTTTCCTTCCTTCTGGATTTGCTTAGGGGGATTGTTACTTTTCTCTGTGGTTACCTTGGAGTATATTCTCATCTCTACATTTTTAGAACAGTGCATACTGAGAAGACAATGTCCTGTTTCCTCTCCATTTAGAAGTGTGTACCTAGAAGTTTTATTCCCTCTGATAGGTTAGTTGCTGTTGTTGTGTGCTTCTTGAGTTCCTTGGTTTTTAGAGTACAGTGTTTTATGGTCTTATTTTGAGTTTCCATTTCTGATTTGATTTTAGTGTTGATGCCATGTATTCTGATTTTGTTGATCTCTCTTGTGGGTTTACTATTGGATGAACTTTCTTAAGCATTTCTTGTAGGCTTGGTCTGGTTTTCACAAAATCCCTTAATTTCTGTTTGTCTGAGAATGCCTTGATTTCTCCTTCATATTTGATGGATAATTTGGCTGGATATAGAATTCTTGGTTGGAAATTCTTTTCCTTTGGTGTTTTATATATGCCATCCCATTTCCTTTTTGCTTGTATGGTTTCTGCCGAGTAATTGGAGCTCAGCCTGTTTGATTATTACAAGCAATATTTCTTTTGTCCTGGGCAGCTCTCAAAATTTTTTCTTTTTCTTTGGGTTTAGAGAGTTTGATTATAGTATGCCTCAGTGTTCTTCTCTTGGGAACTATTTTGTGTGGGGTTCTATGAGCTTCTTGGACAAATATATTTTCTTCTTTCATGATATGGGGGAAGTTTTCTATTAGCAGGTCTTCCACAATTTTCTCAGTGGTTTTTTTCACCTCTTCTTGTTCTGGAATTCCAACAAGTCTTTTGTGTTTTTTTTTTTTTTTTTAATGTCATCGCATATAATTCTTCGTTTCTCTTAAATCTTTCTTCTGATTTTTCTTCATACAGGCTGGTGTCCAGGGATTTGTCTTCTTATTGGGATATGCATTCTTCAGCCAGTTCTAACCTACTCCTTTGTGTTTCTACTGTGTTGTGTAATTCTGTAATTTTGGTATTCATCTTTTGGATTTCTAACTGCTGTTTTTGTATGAGTTCTGATTGTGCATTAATGTAATTATTTTGTTCTTGAACGATTTTCCTGAGTTCTTCAAGGGAACTGTCTGTGTTCTCCTTGTTTCTGTTTGGGGTTTCCTTAGGCTCTTGCTCTTGTAAAGCTCTATAAACATATCTTCTAAATTCCTTCTCAGATAATTCTATTGTCTCCTCTTCCTCTATGTTTAATGAGACCTTTGTTTGTGGTTTTGCTTCTATGTCTTGTCTTGTTTTTTGTTTGATTTGAGGTTGCCTGTTGTTTCCTAGACATTTTGAGGTTGTTTTAACTGTTGGTTATGTATTGATTTGTTTTGTCTTGGTTTTGTGGTTTAGTATTTTGAAAAGGTGAAGCGGGTGTATTTTATTTTTTTAAATTATTAATTCAAGTATTCTGGGTTTCTCTGCAGTTTTCTCTCCAATGGTAGAAGCACTGTGTGGAATGTGGATAAGGGTTTCTGTCATAAAGAGAATTTAGAGTTTGAACAAGGAGGTTTTATGTTGGCTGAATGTGGTTTCTTCTATTGGGTGAATGAAGTTATTGGCAGAGAAGGTGGGAGTGGAAGAAGGAAAGCTTTCTGTTGCTAGAGGCAGTTTCTAAGGCTTTGAGCAGGCTGCTACTGATGATGTCGTACTGTCATTTACAGGCCTGCAGTTCAATTTCAGCAAAGACTCCAGTTGTTAGGGGTTGCCACTTTCCACCAGGCTCAGACACATGCAAAAACCCGACTCCTGAGGCCCCTTCGCACCAAAAAGCCATCCCAAGACAACTTACCATCTCTGTGATCCTCTGCAGGGTTTTCTCTCTCTGGCCCCACCTACCCTCGGCCCCAGTTCAGCTGGCCCAGACCGCAATCCACCTTGGGAGTTCCTCTGTGGGTGCGCCCACCCATAGTGCCAAAGATCTATTCGGTTTCAGCGGTGCTGGAGTTGGAGAGTGCCTGCTAGTAATCTGTGGTCCCAATATTACTGATAAAGTCAAGTGCAGTCCTCTCAGTGCCACTAAGCTGACCCAAGCCTACTTGATAACATACTGCAGGGGCACCTCCCCAGGCCCGCTCTCCTGCAGCACCAATGAACTCTCTGCTTGGATTTCAGTGGTGCTGGACGTGCCCTTCTGCACCCAGTCGACCCAAGTTACCAATAAAATTAAGTGCTGAAGGTAGTTCCTTGGGATGATCGCTGATATGCTGGTGTGGTTGCTAGTATGTTGGTATGTTGTGTCTTCTTCCTTAATGCAGGGAGGCCTTGGATGGCCATTCTCACCTGCTGGTCGCTCCCCCCAAAAAGTCTCCAGTGGCATTGTCAGCTGCCTGTTGGCACTCCACAGGGTAGATCTTCTGATCTTATTTTTTTTCCCCTTGTTCCTTTCTCCTTTCTCATTCTACTCCTCTGAGTTTGGTGTTTTCTGACTCAGTGAGCTGTTCAGAGCACCAGAATCCCTAATTCAAATGGCTGTACCTAGTTTTTCAAGCACTAAGATGCTTGAGAGAAATAGCTTGGTGATTACTGAGGAGACTCCATTTTGAATCCCTAAAACTTATTTTTTTTAATGATTATATAGAAAACTGTGATATTGATTTTAAGTATTTTCTTATTTGGACATTGAGTAGGTTTATATATATGTATATATGTATGTGTGTGTGCGTGCATACGTATATGCCCATGTATATGTATATTCTGATTTCAGATTTTATGAGATTAAATTCCAAGAGGTGAAATTACTAGGTTAAAACAAGAATACTCATCACGTGTTTCTGTCATGAGTATTGCCACATCATCTCTTACCATCCCCTAGGAGTGTCTGAAAGTGCGCTTTTCTCTGTGCCATCGTTAACAGTGATTTTTTTAAAATCCACTTTATTTTGAAATCAAAATGTGTCTATATTATTTGATAACTATTTTTATGATATTCTGTGGTATATGAAATATATCCTGTGAGTGTGAACTCAGGCCAAAAACAAATAACAGTGGAATATTCATCCTGTGGTATATGTCTGTATCAATGCCACACTCTCATTTTCACTACATGGCCAACAGAGTACATGAAAGTAGTCAACTGATATTTATAAAAATAAGGTTATGAATCTGAGCTATATTCCTAGGAGATTTATGAACTATAAAATGGCATTGTTATTATTATGTTCTGTCATTGTATTGTGCTTTTTAGCTGTCTTCCATTTCATGTTGTAAAGTTCCTTAGGATCCATTTGCATGAAAGCTATTGTGTGTACTCATTTTGTATTGTATTGTGGCAAAGACTATAATCTACAGGGTTCCTATTCATTTTGGAATTCATTTCACAGCTCACTAATTGTGTGAATGAGAAGAGGAAATACATGCTTTTATTCCAAAGCATGCCAAGCAGATGGCCCAAAGTTCATTGCTACTAACACTGTCAGTGTGGCCCTCTTCTGTAGGTAGTAAACTTGACATCCATCCGTCAAACACAATGTAAGGGTCCATTTAACACAGCACTTGACAATCACTGAGCCTCTGTTTTGTTGTGACTTATAAACATTTTGTTTTTATCATCAACCTCTAAAGTGGCCAGCCATTTGAGCAGGTGCAAACACAGCAGCATTCATATTCATTTTATTTAAGAAGCCAGAATAAACTTTTATTCAAATGGAAATTTGGGAAAATAAAACAGTACAGGAGATTAAGCTTAGTTTCTTGAAAAGGGATTAATACATGTAATAAGATTCAAAACTGTAACATCATTTCTGAGATTGAACTTTGAAAAAAACCTTCTTCAGTTCAAGAAAATATCAGGGTTCTTATCTTAAGCTTCATAGGTGAACCAACCTTCTTTATAAAATCTTTCCTTTCTTATACAATAGAATTCCTTACTTATTGACTTTTATATTAGAAATTCTATTTCTGTAATCATTTCATCTTATTAGCAATAACATTCAATGTGCTTGTGTGTGTGTGTGTTGTGATAGTATGAGAGAGACAGAGGGAGAGTGACAAAGGAGAAAATTGAGAACTAATGAATATCCTCAAACATTTCCCAGGTCAACAGTGATACTAGGACAGTATGTTCTTGAGTTATCTCTTCACAAAAGAGAGTGAGTGAGTTCAAATGTCCTAATGGAGATGATTTAGTAATTTGATCACTATGTCTTATTTAAGAGGATTAGAAGAGGTGAAGATACTGTTTTCTCCCTAACACAAAGGAAAACTGAGTACTCTATCCCCTCACCCCTTGCTTATTTTCTGCTTCCAAACAGTTGACCACAGGTTTCACATGCTGTATTGACTACATTTTTCCTTTTTGCTTGGTTTTCAGACTGATGCAGCTCTAATGTATGATGCTGTGCACGTGGTATCCGTGGCTGTCCAGCAGTTTCCTCAGATGACAGTCAGTTCCTTACAATGTAATCGACACAAACCTTGGCGCTTTGGGACCCGCTTTATGAGCCTCATTAAAGAGGTAAGGAAAAGAAGCATGTCTGGTGTCTTTTGTCCTCTATCAGAATGAATTGAAATGATAGCAGTTTTTCTAGTAGGTGACCCTTCATCTTTGTCATTTAAATTAAACTTTTACTTTCTTCTCTCCCCCTCCATATAAGCACAATTAATATATATTTTTAAAGAAAGATTAAGAAACAAAAGAGGAACATTATATTATAAATAAATAGGCTACTCAGAATCTCTACAAATGTCATATGAACATTTAACTGAGCCTTACTCTACAACCTGGTGTAAACAGATAAAAACTTGTGACCTTGGAAAGCTAGATTTATGAGATTGTTAGCTTTTACCTAGTAGAAATATAGATGTTTAAAAGTGTTTATATTTTAGGCAACAAAATATACAATGCATTTTTAACCTTAAAGCAATTTGTACTATATTTAAACTTAGACCCAATTTACAAGTCTTAAAATAATTATTTAGACTCATGGTTCCTAAATAGAATATGTAGTTATTTTAATTATACTAACAGTTAACATAAAACAGAATATATGGATTCATAAAAGTGCAAATTTTACTACATATTGTATAATATAACCATTCTTATGGCCATATATCATTTCTTATTATGTCTGTTATCATAATACATCAAACAATGCCTGTGCTGAAAAGAAAAAGGAGGTAAATTCTTAAAGATATAACTAATTAGATACCAAACACCAAACCCATTGTCATTGAGTCAATCCTGACTCATTGCAACTCCCATGCAGTTTACAAGGCTATAAATCTTTAAGGAAACAGACTGCCTCATCTTTTTCCTTAGGAGTGGCTGTTGGGTTGGAACTGCTAACCTTTTGGTTAGCAGCTGAATGCTTTAACCACTACACCACCAGAGCCTACATATATATGTATATATATGTGTGTGTGTGTGTGTGTGTGTGTGTGTGTTTATAGATGGGTAGGTAGGTAGATTCCTTATGTGATGAAGAAATTCTTCTGTCAGCTTTGTATACTTTTCATTTGACTACAAAGCAGTCATTAAATGAACATTTAACTGAGCCTTACTCTCTGCTATGGGAAAAATCACAGATATTATCACCATATATGATTTATAATTAGTGACTTAAAATAAATCATTAGTTAATCTTATACTAAAATATCCATCCTGAAAATAAAAGTATACTGTGAACCATAGTTGAGAATCTCCAGGTATTGGGAAAAAAATAGACTCATATATTTTATTTTTCCTTATAGATATTTTAATGCAGTTTGCAATTTCTAAAACAAAGTGAAGTTAAAATAAATTTAATAAAATTTCATAGGAAAGTTTCCTCAAATTCCACAGTTTTTTTTTTTTTTTAAATAGACTCAGAAGCCAAACAGTAATAATAATTTTTATAGTATATTACAATATTAGGAGCTCTGGTGGTAGAACAAAGCTATGTTTAGATGGTCAATCTTTGCTCTTATGAAAAAACTTCCACCAATTTAAGAAAATGGAGAAGGAGCCAGATGATAATTTTCAAATGAGTTTTATTATATAAAATATTGCTTTTATTATTGTTATTTTAGCTTGTAAGGAAGTTGAACCAGCTTGCAAATGCTAAAATGACAAACAAACAAGCAAATAGACACTTGAGATTTTAAGATAAGGACTTTGTCTAGTCATTCTCATGGGAGTTCTGGTAGCATAGTGCCTAAGACACATGACTGCTAACCAGGAGGCTGGTGGTTCAAACCCACAAACCACTCCTCAGAAGGAAGATGGGGCAATCTACTTCCTCAGTGATACTGCCTCAGAAACCCAAGGAGGGCTTGTTATGAGTCAGGTCTGACTTGACGGCACATAACAACAACAACAAACAGTCATTCTCATGATCACAAAATGGCTGCTTCATTTCCAAAGCTATGCCTATCTCATTGGCCATAACTCTGGACCCAAGTATTTTTGTTGTCCAGTTCTTCTCAAACTCCCAATGGATAAAGTGATACTAATAGATGACTCCCTAAAGAATATTCAGTTTATTCATTACTACACACACACACACACACAATTTTACTTCCAGTTTAAAAGTGGGTATAGAGAACTTTAAATATAATCCACAGATTTACCTAATGGAAGAATTGCTTTTCCTGATCTCAGTACTTTATTGTTGAGGCCATGACATCTGTCAAGCAGCTATTGTATTTATTATAGGATATTATTAAGGATCTTGTCCATGAAATCACAGTGACCCCTTATGAGGACCAAAAGGAGAAATTTCTCTCTGATCTCACTACCAGGAAATGTTTTGCTTCTCCTGATCAGCTGGTCTGTCTTAAATTATGGACCCTATATATTGTAGCATAGTGGCTAAGACACTTGCCTGCTAACCAGATGGCTGGCGGTTCAAACCCACCAGCCACTCCTCGGAAGGAAGGTTGGGCAATCCTACTTCCATAGTGATACTGCCTCGGAAACCCAAGGAGGGGTCGCTATGAGTCAGGTTTGACTCGATGGCACATAACAACAACAACAACATATATTGTAGCATAGTGCCTAAGGCACTTGACTGCCAACCAGAAGGCTGGCAGTTCAAACCCACCAGTCACTCCTTGGAAGGAAGGTTGGGCAATCTACTTCCATAGGGATACCCCCTCAGAAACCCAAGGAGGGGTTGCTATGAGTCGAGTCCAACTCGACAGCCCATAACAACAACACAACAACAGCATATACTGTATATTGATCTTATTTATCTCTTCACATTGGTTATTAGGAAATTCAGAATTGGATTTATGACTTAATTTTAGGGCATCTGGTGAAATTTCTTGATGCTATCTCTATCCTAGATTTGTTTCACTATGCTGTACTTCTGTACTTTTACTACTTGATGTCTTTATCTGTGTTTTTACTATTATATTTGAACTGCCAGCCTTCTGGTTAGTAGTCAAATGCCTGAGGCACTACGAGTAACTGAAACGTATTTGTTTATACTCTTTTAAAGTAATTTTGTTTTTAAGAATAAGTGGGTTAAAAGTAAATTTTTCTTCTTTATTGGAGACCTGTCAACATGTTTAGTTTCAGTCATGACATGATGCATTATGCATATCCATGTATATTAGAATTTTCTATTTAATTTGTAATTTATTATCCTAAAATTGTTTTGGAATTCCTGCATATAATTACTTGAAAAGTATGTGATCCCTAAAGAAATGTAGCACTCTTAATCTACTGGGGTTTGCTTCTTTTGGGCCTTATTTTACAGGGTTTCAAACATTATAGTTTTTTCAAACCTTATTCAAAATTTTATTATATGACTGTTTTAGCAAGTTATTTACAATAGCTCATTTTGGATATATTGCCACTAGAATGGGAAAACTTTTAATATTTTAAACAAGCCCAGATATTTACTGAGCACTGATGGATGAATCCATTATGTTGGTAGATCATTTTATTCCCAACAATCTTCTATGTGGAGAACTGTTACAGGAAGTGTAGTTTGAATAATTGTGATACGTTTTTCCCAGTCTCACTTGGGGAAAAATAATATAATTAGTTAATTGTTTTAAAGGAAAAGACTGTAATTTCAATAGTATAGTATAGATTTTACAGGATACAATTTCTTTCAATGTAATAAAATGCATGTATTTTTATATTATTATGAATTTAGGAGTGATGTTTTATAGCAGTAGTTCTATCTGTAGTTCCTAGTAAGATATTCAATATTTCATATATCATAATAATATTAATAAAACCAAGCTCACTGCTGTCAAGTTGGATCCTACTCATAGTGACCCTTCCTTGGGTTTCTGAGGTAGTATTTCAATGGAAGTAGATTGCCCAATCTTCCTTCTGAGGAGTGGCTGGTGGGTTTGAACCACCAGCCTTCTGGTTAGCAGTCAAATGCCTGAGGCACTACGAGTAACTAAATTCTTCTCACTTTGCAAACATCTTTATTATTTAAAATAACTTACATTCTCATAGGAAATAATGTTATACTCGGAAAAATTACATTATACAAAAGTTTACAATAACTTTTTTATTGAGATTTGTTGTTGTTGTTATTGTTATGTGCTGTCCATCGGACCTGACTCATAGCAACCCCTCCCTGGGTTTCCGAGGCAGTATCACTATGGAAGTAGATTGCCCAACCTTCCTTCTGAGGAGTGGCTGGTGGGTTTGAACCCCCAGCCTCCTGGTTAGCAGTCAAGTGCCTCAGGGACTATGCTACTAGAAGACATGTATTTATCAAAAATATCTTTCAAATTTCAGAAGATAATAATTATTTTAAAAATGTATTTGTGTAAAGTTATGAAAAATTTCCCTTTTTTGTGGAAAATTATTTTGTTTTCTTGTTCTTTCCTTATGTACTAATAAATGTATCTTTCTTTTCTCATAGGCTCACTGGGAGGGCCTCACAGGCAGAATAACTTTCAATAAAACCAACGGCTTACGGACAGATTTTGATTTGGATGTGATCAGCCTCAAGGAAGAAGGTCTTGAAAAGGTACTGAGTAATAAGCTCACTTACTTTAATTATTAAATGAACATAGCCCAATAAAGAAGGAGATAGACTTGATGATTGTCATATTTCATTGCCATTAATTTTATTGAGAAATTTGACAAAATAATCTATAATTTGGTATTACTGACTATAATAATTATTCACTAGAATTAAGAATAAATGGTTCCTTATGGCAATTTAAATATTTATTATCACTAGATTTTCTGATATATTTGCATGCATATAATATTAGCTTTAAGATTTAATCCTACAATTAGAAATTAATTGATTTAATATGGGTATTTGTACATGCAGCTTATAGCTACATGTGCTTGCAGAGACATTGCTACCTGGAGCAGGATATGAAAAGGAGTAAACACAGAAGCATGTTCCCATTGCTATTTTTTATTCAAGTGAAATATCTTAATTAATGTAAGCAGAGTAAATTAGATATAGAGAAAAATGCTAATGATACTACATTGGGTATATTTCTTACTTGATTCTACATTAGAGATAGAAGTAAAACATGTTAAGGCTTGTAGAATTTGAGATGTGTTCTTACTTTAAGAGTATTCAAGCTTAAATTTGTTTACATTTATAATGCATGTAACCACCTTGTTTCCAAGATAAGAACATAAATCTACACCCAAGACTAGGATTGATAATGATAGATTTTAGCTCTTAAAGGTTTTATCCCAATGTTCACTGGGAAAAATATAACCTTAGTTTTCTGAGATGGCCAAGCCACTAGTATGGGCTTTGACAGTTACTTGCCTTTCAATTCATCAAGATAAATATAGCAATCCTCTACATATTACTATAGACTTAGCCCTGTCTTGGTTTCAAAATAGAGAAAACATTGGAAAAGCTTTCTCCATGCTCCAAAGTGGATTATAGACCTACCTGCATATAATGTTTACCTAGCATATATGATGATCCACCATATTGATGAGTAGTGAGCTAACCATGCTGCCTCTCAATTTCATAAATATTTTGCCTTCTTTTCTAAAATTTGAAGATCTGCTTTGCTAAATTAATTATATACAGATCATATTCCCATAAAACATTTGCATATAAATGCAATGAAATGCTATTTCTTTCAAGTCTTTAAAAGTACAGTGAAAGAATACTTCTGACAAAGGATAAAACTTAATCATAGTAAATGAAGAACTTAGAATTAGTCTTGTACAATGGGAAAATATTGCTTACAGGAGATTGAGTCATTTCAGAAAGAGATCTACAATATGAATGGGAAATAAGCCACAATGCTGGACTTGAGTCATAATAAGGAAACACCATGTGGAGACATTTTCAACATATTGGTATGCAATGGTAAATTCAAGGAGAACAGCCTGAAGACCTGTGGATTGCTTGGGAGGATGTTACAGCTTAGGATATATTTAACATGGGACCAAAATTGCTCTGAATGGGAATGAAAGATTAAGAAACAGTGACAGTTCAAAGTTCAAAGAATCAAAGCATTGAACTATGTTTTTAAGATGAAAGGGGGGGAGGTGGAGGAAGCAGTGATAAGGCATATATAAATATGAGGAAGACAAGTGGCAAGTGAGAGAATTTGAAATAAATTGGCACCAATCTTCCCCTAAGGAGATAGATAAGGAACTTTAGATGGGCATAGGTGCTTTGGAGAGAAAAGAATTAAAAGATTTCAATCAAAAGTTTGTAAGATATTCAGAAATTAGTACAACTAAGAGATGGGGTAGAGTTAAACTTTAGTCAACTCTTGAGAATCATGAAAATGTCTTGAAACTATCATTGTGGCAGATTGGACATTGAGTCAGTTGGAATAAAGTACTGTTAAGTAGAAAAATATTCTCAGTTTTTAATTCAGTAGAATTGTTAAGAATTCAAAGTCTAGATTTAGACAGAATTGGGTTCAATCTCTGTCATCTACTATTTATAGACAAGTTTCTTAATCTCTCAAAACAGATTGTCTTCAAGATTCTTATTAGTTTTACTTTTTATTTATTTATTTTCTTGAAAAGAATAATTACTAACACAGTTTAAGAAAGACAGAGTTCCTACCTAATAGAATTCACAGCTTACAAGGGTCAGTAGATGAAAGTCCAGGAGGCTTGAGTTACAATGTCAGTTCTATTGCCACTAAGTATGTGACATCATCCTTCCACCTGATTTTGCTGTGTCAGATTCCTCATCTCCAAGAATACTAAGTGCTTCTTTTCTAGACAGGCTGAAATGAAAACTATCATAGTGCCTAAAAGAACTGGAAGTATCATCTCTGTAGGTTCTGAGGTTAGAAATTTTAGTTAGTGCCATCCTCAATATTGCCTTATCATGACTAGGTGAGGACAATGAGAAAAATGAGAAAAAAAAAAATTGTAAAATGCTACCTTTATAAATTTCTTCTCCTCCATTCCTGATGCCTTTTCTTAGTTCTGGTCTATAAGGAGCTCTGGCGGAGTACTGCCTAAGGTATTTGACTGCTAACCAGAAGGCTGGCAGTTCAAACCCACCAGCTACTCCTCGGAAGGAAGAATGGGCAATCTAACTTCTGTAGAGATACTGCCTTGAAAACCCAAAGAGAGGTTGCTATGAGTCGAAATCAACTCAGTTGTAGTTAGTTTGGTTTTGGTTTTTTAGGTCTGGTCTTTGACCAGTGCATTTTACCTGTTTATTTAATTTTGTAACAAATATGTAAGAAGCATGTATCTTTTGCCCTTATAAAGATTATATTTATGATGAAATATAAAAAATCTTTATAACTGACAATAAAATGATATTTTAAATAAATTATTTATGTAGAATATAAAACTAGGGCATAATTTACCATTAGAAATGATCCTCTGATGCTTAGCCATGCACTTAAGAAAGATCAGCTTCAGCTGTAGCAAAACAATGACTAATGTCAGTAGGCCTTGCAGAGATATTCAGAAGGTGTTTGGAATATGATTTCAAAAGGATTCAAGAATTTGGAGCAAAATTTGGAGTTGGAAGGATTTTACACAAAATAGGTTTAGATTAAGTTGACAACATTATATGGTAATGGAGTTTTCTACTGTAATATCTGGTGATGCAGTGCCTAAGGCATTTGACTGCTAGCCAGAAGGTTGGTGGTTCATACACACCAGCCACTTTGTTAAAGGAAGACTGGACAATCTACTTCTGTAACAATTTACCACCTTAGAAACTGAAGGGAGTTCATTATGAGTTGGAATCAACTCAATGGCAATGGCTTTTTTTTTTTTTTTTTTTTCTTTTTAAATAAACAGTGGAAGCCTAGAGGCCATTTTTGGGAAAAGATCACTTACACTTTAATAGAATTTCTTCTAAGAAAACTGTAATGCAAAAATAAAATCACTTAACTCTGCCATGTAACTGTCTTTTAATCTTGAATATACAATGAAAACAATATATTTCATGTGCTTTTCAAGGAAAAAAAAAAAGCTATCTCTTACTATTACACTTCTTGCTTCTTCAAATGGATTTTTATTGCACTAGAGAACATTTTGAAGTAGAGGTCTTAAACTAAAATTATTCTCCTATACCTCTCCTGTATTTCTCTAGCATCACAGTCATCTATCTCTCTCGGTTATTTTGATGATATTCTCATGACTGTGATAATTATGTTTAAGTAAAACATGTAGACTGGAATACTCAGTCTTCTAGATAGCAAGTATCTAATAAATTTATATTAATATTGACTGCCACAGTATTGGGCAGTATTTTGTTCTATTGTACATAGGGTAGCTATGAGTTGAAATCAACTTGATAGTACCTAACAAAAATAACAATATTAACTTTTAATTTAATATTATGCTAATGTTGAAACAGCATAAAGATGAATCCAGTACACTTCTCTGGCTAGAGATAGCACTAAGGGTCCTAGAAAGGATTGGGACAAATAAAAAAATCTCACCATGAGTTTACCTCAACATGTTTTACAAAAATATCAGCATCTAACTTGTGTGTCCTTAGGGAGATTCTTGAAAGAGAAAAGTGGTTGTAAGATGGTGTCTTATGGAATATGTTTGTGGACCTATACAAAATTAAAAATTAATGTAAATTCTATAAAGCAAGATAGTCTTTATTAGTAAATTATTAAATAGTTTATTTTTTTTCAAAAATAGAACAAGCACAAATACTTAGCAAACTCACCAGGGACTCCTAAGAAGGAAGATGGGGCAATCTATTTCTGTAGTGATACTGCCTTGGAAACCCAAGGAGGATTCTCTATGAGTCGTGTCTGACTTGACAACACATAACAACAACAACAACAAGGTAATAGCAATTAAGAAGATGGTAACACAGCACAGAAAACTATATGGAATAAAGAAATCATCAAAACCATGAACAAAAAAATAATATGACATCAATAAATTTATATTTTTTGATAATTACACTGAATGTCAATGGATTAAATGCACCACTCAAGAGATGGAGCTTTCAGACTGGATAAGAAAACATGACCCATCAATATGCTGCCTACAAGAAACTCATCTTAGACAAAAAGCAAAAATGGAATAAAAATAAAAGATTGGAAAATGATATATCAAGCAAATGACAATCAAAAGAGAGTAGGAGTGGCAATATTAATTTCTGATAAAATAGACTTAAGACAAAAATGACCATAAAAGACAAGGAAGGACATTATATTATGATTAAAGGATCAGTTGAACAAGAGGACATAACCATAATAAATATCTACTCATCCAATGAAAGGGCCCCCTAATATACAAAGCAGACTTTAACAGAATTGAAAAGACAAATAGGTGACTCCACAGTAATAGTAAAAGTAATACACCACTGTCAGTGAAAGATAGAACAACTGGAAAGAAACTCAGCAAAGATGCAGAGGAAGTAAACAATACAATAAACCAACTTAACCTGATAGACATCTACAGAGCATTTCACCCAACTACAGCACAATATACATTATTTTCCAGCACACATGGAATATTCTCCATGATTGACCATATGTTGGGCCAAAAAGCAAGCCTCAATAAGTTAAAAACATTGAAATA